GCAGGAATTCATGAACTAGTAAGTTATTCTTAGAAAAGCCACTTGGTGAAAAGTATATTAAATAGACTCATTTCTCAGCTCTGAATAAGAAGAGGGCACCATTTACCAGATTGTCATGTTTCCAAATTTTCCCTCACATTCTCCAAGCTACTATTCTGCAAAGAAGAAAGCAAATCACCTGGGACTTGGAACTCTGGTTCTCTGTGGAGTGGCAGCCAGATGCCTAGATGGAGGACTGAAGACTCTTTATATTTTAAGGAGTTTAAGTTGTAATGGTGTCAGTGAAAAGAGAGATGGTTTGTGCACATCAGCTGGGTCATGCAGATCATTAGTTTTACTTTTTCTTTCCTTTGACTTGTAAGACAAAAACACAAAGTCAAATTTATACTTCGGAACTGCACCTAGCTCTTCAAGTGTGACAACACCTAGGTAAAATTTGCATTGCACTTTTGAACTAATCATCTTGAATAAAATGTAAATAGCAGTAATCAGGTAGTGAACTGTACATGTAAGAGGAACTTTGATAATACCTATATTAGAGTATTACATTCTATTTTTATTTTCATTTGCTATTATAATAATATTCATCATATTAACTTTCACTACATCAGTTCCAGAACTCTGAACATGCTAAACAGATATTGGTTTGTGTGGGTTCATCCTATGCAGAGCAGAAACTTAAACCAAAAGCAGAAGTTATGCTGTTCTATGAAGCATCTCCCCACAGACCTGGTGCTGGAGAAGAGAGGTTGGGTTGGCACAGAGTCATACTGGGTTTCAAGTTTACTTTACAAGATTAATATTGATGCTTTGTGTGTCATTCTGATGCTATGCATGTGCTCTGTAGTATTAATCCTTTCCACAAAGTAGTGCACAGAAAAAAATGACAATATTTGCACAGCACCTGGGGGTGAGGATGGGAATGAGAGAATCGGCTGAAAATTGGAAGTCAGTCTTAGCTTTTCCTTGAGGCCTGAAGGTGTCAATATCCTGGCACTCCTATAATACATTCATGCCCAAAGGCAAAGGCTGAGAAGCTCTGCTAGGAAATAACTATGGTATAATAAAATTCAGAGTACAGAGGACCAGCAGATGGCGTAACGGTTATGTCACTGAACTCCCATGTAGTCAACTGCAATTCAAGTCCTGGGTACAGCAGCTTAAAACTCACCCTGGGTTTGCGTGCGTGCATGTTCAAGATCCTGAGAGGAGAACGGAAGAAAAGGGGTTGCAATGTGGCCACCCATAAGAGATAATGTCTTGCTTTCTATCTTTCTGTCTCTCTGTCTCTCTCTGTTTCTCAGGCAAGCACACATACCTTATAGCAAAAATCTCTCTTAAGAAAGAAAAATTCAGAGTACAGCCAGGTGCCAAACAAGCACATGTTTCACCCATACTTTTGCAGTAGAGTATCACAACAATTAAGACAACATAGTGAAATATTTTAAGAATCAGTTCAAATCAAAATCGAAGAAATGGAAGCCATTTGAATGATTATGTAGTACACAGTTACTATTATTAGTATGGATATTTCCTGCCCCTAATGGCCTTTAGAAAATATTAATTCAGAGCTAACCTCTCATTGTATAATAAGGACAGGGAATGGAAATTATTTCCTGAGACACTCCTGACAGTGCTATTATTGAGTCAGTAGTGCATTAAGTTATTTCAGAGGTTAAGCAAAGCATGATGTGGTGTGTTGAAGCTGGTGTACTAGTCAAGCACTGATGCCTTTTAGGATCCTGAGTTTCTCACTAACCTCTGCATCTTGAACTAGGAAAAAATAAAGTATGTCCCCTCCTGTGCTCATGGAAATAGAAGGAAGAAGAATGGAGAGTTAAAGATGCAATTCTGTGCTTAACAAATGAAAGATCTAAGCAGTGTGAGGCTGGCTAGTCTCATGTCACCAGCAACTCCTATCAGTGGAAATAGAGGGCCCCCATAGTTCTGGTTTACAGAAATAAGACTAAATCCCTCCCCCAAACACATCACACTGGGGGTGCTCAGTGGTAAAGATCAGATATGCCTGTTTCTCACCACATGAGTGCTATGGGGACAGCATACATTAGCTAGATTCGTAGTCATTCCGCACTGACAACATGAGAATAGAACCTTGTTCTTTATAAGCCAATTGTCTTCAGGTGAAGAAAATGGTGAGCATATTAAACAACATAATAAAGTCTATGAACTTTAATCAGCTGACTCTTCTGCCTTATTCCTGCCAGATTTCTTCAACACAACTGCATCAGACACATATCCAAGAAAGCATTTTTTGGATTATATAATTTGCAAATATTGTAAGTAACTTTTTTACAGTTATAATGTGAGTATAATGTTAAGTAAGGACTGAAAGGGTAGAATACTACTTTTCCAGGCTTGACTTGACTGCAGAGAAATGGAGGGTACAGGGTATCACAAAGATTTTAAATGAGTTATTACACTGAAAGAATTACTAAAAGATTCTTACTTTTACCAGAAGATGTATAAAGGCTCTCTAACTTTGCCTTTCCAGTTTGTGTGACTTCCACAATATGTTAGCATTTTTTTTCTAACCCTTGATCAATTACTAAATATTGGGTTGTCAGGAAAGTCACGGTGCATTTTTGCATAGGAAAATACGTCATGACTTTCCTGACAACTTAATACTTTCTTAAAATGATAATCTATTAATCTGACCCCCAAAATATGACAAAAGCAAAAATTGTCCCACATAATTAATTTTTCTACTCTTATACTATAATTTAATATAATAGCCCAAAACTTTCTCTTTGGCCACTGCCCTTACCATGGCCCTGGTGTTGCATGTGCTGGACTTGTGCTTGTCCATACTTCTGGTTATTTTCTGACTTTTGCCTCTGATGATCCACTAGTGTGCTTTTAGAAGCCAAAGTCCAGGGACCAGCAAGTGTTTAGGTGGTTAAGGTACTTAATTCCCACATGGCCGACAGTGGTTCAAGTCCTAGACCTGGCAGGTTAAAAATCACAACAAATAATAGATAGATGATTGATTGATTGATTGATAGATAGATGATAGATAAATGGAAAGGGGGGTAGATAACCATCTTCATATCATCCTCAGTGGTTTATATTCTAATTATATGTGACTGCAATGGAATCTTGAGCTTGTCTAACAAACTCAACCTTACAGATATCTCAACCACAACTACATTACAACTCTCAGATCTGGAGTATTCAAAGACTTACATCAACTAACTTGGCTGTAAGTATTTTGGTTTTATTTCCCCTGTAAAGGACCATAGTCTTAATTATATACAACAGTATATTCATTTAGTTTTCACTCACTGATGCCTCTTGCTTATTATATTTTTCTTCTGACTGTCACATAGTCTGGAGCACTTCACCCAAGCAAGTCAGAGAATGGTAAGGGATGGTTACGTGAGAAGGAAGTTGGCCATATTTGTTCAGGTGGCCTTCTGGGCTCAGCGGTAGCCTTGCTGAGCCATCCATCCAAACACCACTCATCCACCTGTTTTTCTCCTCAATGTTCACTAAGCCCAGGATTCCTCAACCACAGCACTATTGACATTTTGGTCCAGATGTTTTGTTTGGGGATGGCAGTGGCAAGAATATATTCCTGCACTGTAGGATGTTTGACATCATCTGTGGCTTCTACCCCCTAGGTATCAGTAATACATTCTGTGCCCCAAGAGTTGTGGTAACCACAAATGTCTCCGGACTTTACCAAATGTCCTCTGAGGAAAAGTGCCCCTCTATTGAAAACCACTGACCTAGAAAGTGAGCAAGTTAAAGACTTGTTCTGATTTTCAGAAATATTCAGAGAAAAGTCTGAAAGTGCAGTAGCTCATGGTATTTTACCACTTTACAGGTTATGTTATTAGCTCTAGAGGAAGAGGTCTTACTTCAGATTCTGCACTTTCATCAGGAAAATAATTGTCTTCTAAGGATAGTTAGAAGACTCTCTGTGTCAATATGCCTATTTTCTGCAGTTTGACTTGGTCTCATCAGTAAAACCAGGGCTTCAGCTTCATACAGGCTCTTGTGTGTGCCTGGCCACAGCCTAACACTTTCAGGCAATTTTCCCAGATTTCTTTTTTTTTCCATCATAATTCTTTTTTTTTTTTTTTTTTTGAAGAGGTTTTTGCTGTGTGGTACGTGTACTCGCCAGAAAGACAGAGTGAGACAGAGAGACAGAAAGCGAGAAATCACCTGCTGGGCGGATGGCCACACCGCAATCCCTTCTCCTCCATTCTCCTCTTGGGATCTTGGGCACTCACGCACACGCACCAGTCATGAGTTTAACTCACCGGATCTGGGACTAGAACCCTGATCGACTACATAGAAGTTCAGTGACAGAGCCATTACACTAACTGCTGATCCCTCTAATTCTTTTTTAAGAAGGGTGTTGTAACAATTAAGTCCCACTACATATGTAAAGTGCCTTATACAGGGCTCCTGGTATATAGTAGGTGCTCAAAGTAGCTCCTTTCTCCTGATCTTACTCTCAGGGACTCCTTAAAGTACGAGGAAATGTTATCTACTGAAGATGATGTATATGGTAATGTCTTTGACTTGATTGACATACCCTGCACGCATGCTTTCCAAAACCATATTGTATGCTGTGAAGGTGTATAATGATTAACTGAACATAAAAAAAAAATAACAAATAAATAAATATTTTTAAAAAGATGAAATGGGACTTGGCTTCAAAGATAACAACAGAAGAGGAGGTTAATTTCCCCATAGTCTAAAACAAACAAACAAACAAAAAACTACTTTATATATAGGTTAAGTATCCCTTTTCCAAAATGCTTTGAACCAGAAGTGTCTCCAATTTTGAACTTTTTTCAGACTTTGGAATCTGTACATATACATAATGAGATATCTTGGGAGTGAGACTCAGTCTAAGCACAAAATTCATGTATGTTTTATATGCACCTTATATACATAGCTTGAGGGCAATTTCATACAATAGTTCTACTTTGCAGCATTTTGACTGTGGCCCATCAAATGAGACCAGGTGTGAAATTTTCCACTTTTGGCATCAGGGCAGCACAAAAAAAAAAAAAAAAAAAAAAAAAAAGATCACATTTTGGAGTATTTTGGAGTTCATATTTTTAGGTTAGGGATGCTTGGCCTGTACAAATATATTTACCCTTTCACCTACAAAGTTCGTGGTGAATGGCTTGACATCCATTCATCAACTTGTGCAGACCTTACTGAATACATTATCCTAACACCAAGATACCAAGGAACCATTTGTGACTTCCTAAGAATTATATTTTGATTCATCCTTTGTTCAGTCAGACCAAAGTGTGTATTAAAGCCCATATTAAGCCAATAAGTGCAGCTTGTGCTGAACGCAGGCATCCAGTGGTGAAGGGTATAACCTGTATCTTAAGTCCAGTGGGAGGAGATACAGGAAGAGAAAGCAAACAATTAAGACAGTACTTGTTACATGCTGGGATATGAGTTGGAGAATTTGGAGTAAAGAGTTGCTCCAACCACAGGCTGAAGGCAAAGCTCTCAGGAAGAGACATTTGAACAATGTGGAAGGGCTCAAAGGAACGAGCCAGGTGTCAGTGATAGGCAAGAATGTTACGGGCCTTTTTTTTTTTTTTTTCTACTTTCATTTCAGAAATGTCTAAAATCGGAAATGTTTTCAATATGTTTTGTCAGAATTCTAGATGACAATCCGATAACCAGAATTTCACAGCAGTCGTTTAATGGATTAAATTCCTTATTTTTCCTGTAAGTATTCATCTGTCTGTAAATTGCAATGACATCTAACACTAGCTTACAAAAAGGGCTTTTAAAAATACCAAGCTCACTAAAACTGTTATTGTGCAAACCTTTATTGTATTGCTGGCCATAGGTACAGTTGCTACATCTCAACCATGGTTAAAAAGAAACAGCCAACCAGATTATAATGTATATTTAAAGCCTGTTAGTTGCTCTTCTTTAATTAACATATAATAATTGTACATATTTGTGAGTTATTAGTTTCTCAGTAAAAGAATGCAATGTGTAATGATTAAGTTATTAGTTTACACATCATCTGAACCATTTCTCCTTATATTGTATTGGAAACATTCAAAACACTCTTTTGAGACCAGCCTGTGGCGTGGTGGTTTAAGGTGGCTGGATCCCACATGCTCAGACTTGCTGTTTGAGTCCCAGATCCAACAGCTTAAAAAAAAATAAAATGACAGACATTTGTGTCTGCCTGCCCCTAATCCCAAAAGCGAGGAAAGATGGAGGAGAAGGGATTCTGGTGTGACTATCCCTTATAGTGGGATGCTTTCTCACTTTCTCTCTGTCTCTCTTCTGGGAGTGCATATGACCTCTGGTGAAATTTAAGAAAAACAAAACAAAACAAATCAAAAACCTCCTTTGTAGTTATTCTGAGATGAACAGTAAATAGTTAACTATTCTGCTCATTCTACTGTATTTTTTAACGCTAGAAATTGTTTCTCTTATATATCCATCATTTTATTTCCTTGAATCAACATCCCTTTATCCCCCCTCTCCGCTATCCCCTTCCCAGCCTCTAGCAGTCATTCTTCATCTCCACCTCTTTGAAGTCATCCTTTTCAATGTTCACATATGAATGAGAACACGCAATATCTGTCTTTCCATGCCTGGCTTATTTTGTAATGCCTTCCTGATTCTCCCCTGTTACCTAAATGATACATTTCTTTCTTTTTAATAGCTGAATTGTATTCCATTGTGGACACAAGGAACTTAAAGAGTTTGTGGGAAGATGTAAATAAAGTACAAGTTTATTTCAGTGCAAAAAAAAAAAAAGTTAAAACCCATGCATAATTTTTCACAATACATCTTTCTCATGAACTTTTTAAAGACCCTTCATATCTACCACATTTTCTTTGTCTATTGATGAACAGTTCAGTTGATTCAATATCTTGGTTATCGCGCATAGTGCTGCAATAAGCATTGGGGTGCAGACACCTTTACAACACACTCATTTACTTCCCTTTAAGTGTATGCCTAATAGTGAGATAGCTGGGTCAGATGGCAGTTCCATTTTGATCCCTTTTAATTTTCTTTCACCCTCATGCATGTTTTTATTTGCAGTGGTTAATCAAAGATAGTATCCATGTTTATATCCTAACTACATTTAAATCTATTTGAATATCCTAGGAGTTCAGTTCCAAATCTATTTATAATAGAGAAAAATGTGCCTTTGCCCAGCAAGGATCTGAAAATTCTAAAATCTTGGTCCTACCAACAGAGCAGCTCTCATAATTGCATTTTCACTGTTTATTAATACACTGGAATGATTTATCAGCAGGGGATTTTTATATTCCTTTACAGTTGATTGTATGGCATCATTATTTTTCTGTTTGTCAAAAGGGACCACGATATCATAAATTAATCGTGCAGCTTAACATGCTCATGAGTTGTTTTCTTTCCCCAAATTCTCTTTACTGTCACCTCTTAGATGTAATGCAGTCTCCAATGTGGCCCTGTAATGCTATAAATGATTCATGTTTTCCTTAAGAAGAAACTTTGGATGCGTGGCACTGACAATGAAGTTTACAAGGAAAATTACCATGAGCTTCAAAATTATTACCCAATATATATTTTTGTATCACCTCATAAAATTAAACTGTATAATACTTCTTCCCAGGATGTATATCATACTTACATATTCATAGTTTCTTTAACAACATCTTTTCTCTAATCCTTGCCATACACATATTTAAAGACCATTCTGAAAGAGTAATGTTATATGTTTTTTTCCTTCATCATGATATACAAATTTTAGCAAGCAAGTTTCCAAATTATGGAATAGTAAATGTACTATTTTTAAAGTGACATATCATTTTGTTTCTAATTAATATTTTCTTTGTGTAAAGGTCTATGGTTAATAACCACTTAGAAGCCCTTCCCAAGCAGATGTGTAACCAAATGCCTCAACTCAACTGGATGTGAGTATTAATTTAGAATTTAATATTATGTATTTGCCCAGATTAAGGAAACTAGCCTTCAAGTTAATTCATGATTACCTTAAAAGTCTATGTATGGGTGCCAGCAGGTGGCATGGTGGTTTAGGCATAGTACTCCCACATGAGTGACTGCAGTTCAAGTCCTGGACCTAGCAGTTTGCTTTCTCACTCTCCTCTCTCTGTCTCTCTCTAGTCAAATTGAATAATAATAATAATAAATAAATAAAATTAAATAAATAATTATTTTTTTAAATCTATGTACGATTTCTTTCTAGAACCAAACTCTCATCACATTGCTTCCCATTTTAAAAATCCTTTGAGGTTTCCCCAAGGTGAGAATATAAAGTTGCGCATTCCTCCTTGAGCACCCAAGAACCCTCGTTTCCCATCCCTCTTCCACATGACCCTTCCTTCTAGAGATACCGAACTACTGCTCCTGCAATCAGTTTCCTACATCCATACTGATCCCTGACCTTGAACATCTCATTCCTGTATTCTTATGGTGAACTTCATCATTTCCACTAGAAGTCAATTTACCCACCACCTCCAGAAGTTACTTCTGACCCACCACCCAAGTTCAGTGTCTGCCATTGTACTCCATTATATCACATGCCAAAATTTGCCATGCTGCCTGTTTTCTACACTTAACAGCTAGTTCTCTCTATCGTTGATTGTCTCTCCCCTACTGTTCTGTATGTTCGGTAAGGGCAGAAACCTATCGTACAATCCATGCCTAGTCTTAGGACAATGACAAGCACATAATAGGTGTTCGGTAAACCTTTGTTAGATGGATGTACAAAATCATTTCACTCCATAACTTTTAACCAATACTTGTTGCAAACATTCATTAAAATTACACCATGTCTTTACCACAACTATCCATCATTCCTGATCACATACTCTGTTATGGTCTCTTGCTACAGCCAGGATTGTCACAGTCATTGATATCCTAATTTGGAAAATGCTGATTTGAATCACTTTCAGTACTGTTCTTGTGGTTAAAAAGGGGGCTCAACATGCATAAAATGATAATACTATATTATATTATCTAGACTTTTTTATTTCTTTTTTATTTATGTTTTTTGTTCTTAGAAATGGGGAGGGAAAAAAGTATCCTTCAAAAATTCATGGAAAAATGAAATTAAAGTACAAAAACTATTCAGTGCAAAAACAAATTGAAGTCCATGTACAATTTCTTCATAAGATGCCCTTTCCATTATGGAGATTTAAATCCCAAGTCTGGAGTTTGATATGTGCAAGATAACTTTGGCCTACTTTTTCCTTCAGTAAAATAGAGGCCAATGTCTACCTGGGGGTGGAAGAATGCAAGGATATAATGATCTATGTGATGCCACAAGCACAAAAGTGCTTTCTAGGCTTTAGATTTAGACATATGTGAGTTGCAAAGACATTTCTACCACTTTCTAACTATGAGACTAGGGGGGAAAAAAAAGTGAGTCTCCAAGAGCCTCTAATTTCTCATTTGTTAAATGGAGGGTAATAATACCAACCTAGCAGAAGTGCTGTGTGATGCATGCCAAACAGCACCTGCCACCACAGAAGACCAATAGATGACAGTTACAATGGGTGGGTAATATTACAAAGAAACTTCAGAAAGCTTATGGAAAAATGGAATTGAAATATGAGTTTACTTTGGCACAAACAAAAAAATTAAAATTCATGCAGTTTCTTCATTATATACATTTTTCATAACATTTTTTTAAATTCCCATATATAATTAATAACATGATGTACAGCACCTAATGATACTCAGTCACTAAATGTTAGGCCACCATTTCCCTCAAATTTATTAATTTGTAACATTAATTTGAAAGAGATAAAAGCATATTAATTATACTAATCCTGTAATAATTAGGAAAAAACCATAGTAAAATTGGAGTGAAGAAAAATGAAATTCAGAATTGTCATATCAGCATGAAAAATTTTTTTTTTTTTTTTTTTTGAAGAGGTTTTCGCTATAGGGCGCATGCGCTCTCCAGAAAGACAGAGAGAGACAGAGAGACAGAGAGCTAGAAATCACCCCCCCCAGGGGGGATGGCCATGCCACAATCCCTTCTCCATTCTCTTCTCGGGATCTTGGGCATGCACGCACACGTGTCTGGCGTGAATTTAAGCCACCGGGTCTGGGACTCGAACCGCAGTCAACTACATGGGAGTCCAGTGACATAGCCATTACGCTAATTGCTGGTCCCAAAAATTTCTTTTTTTTTTAAGAGAGATTTTTGCTATATGGTGCGTGTGCTCGCCAGAGAAAGAGACAGACAGGAAGTGAGATCCCCCACATGGCCATCTCTTCTCCTCCATTCTCCTCTTGGCATTTTGGGTACTCATGCACATGCGCCCAATGTGTTGCAAGCCACTGGGAATCGCAATATGGGAGTCCAGCGACATAACCATTTTGCCATCTGCTAGTAACAACATGAAGAATTTCTAAACACAGATTTTGTGCATGACATCCAAAATATTTTCCACTCTCTCTTTCAGGGATTTGGAAGGCAATAGAATAAACCATCTTACAAATTCTACCTTTCTATCATGTGATTCACTCACAGTGCTGTAAGTATATACTGGACTTCAGAACTGAGGGGAAATACTACAGATTTTAAAATGAAAAGAAAACACTGTAAATAATAGTAATGTAATGTTTCGTTTACAGCCTTGATCTGAAACTGCAATACTAGAAAATGTGCACATTGATTTATTGAGGTTGATGGTGGGGCTGAACCTTAAGTGAAGTTTCCCACCATTTTGATTTCCACCTGCTCTCCTGGTTTCTGAGGTAGTCATCAATTCTGTGCACTCTCTCAGTTGAACTAGTTCTTGAAAGATCTCGTTTCCTCACCCCATGGTCACCAATGAAATGAGTTGATGAATGTGAAAGCGGTTAGCTATACAAGGGTTAGCTGTTATGGTCAATGATTCTAATCACTTGATGCCTCTCTTTCAAAAAAAAAAAGTTATAGGGAACCAGCAGTTAGCGTAATGGCTATGTCGCTGGATTCCCATGTAGTCGACCGCGGTTCGTGTCCCGGACCCGGTGGCTTAAAACTCACGCCAGGCACGTGTGCGTGCGTGCCCAAGATCCTGAGAAGAGAATGGAGGAGAAGGGATTGCGGCGTGACCATCCCCCCTGGGGGGTGATTTCTCGCTTTCTGTCTCTATGTCTCTCTCTGTCTGTCTGGCGAGCGCACGCGCCCTACAGTGAAAATCTCTCCAGAAAAAAATGTTTATAAGAGAAAAACATCTACTGTATTCTGATTGGACAAAGATTCCAATTACTGGGTTATGGTTGTTATAGGGGTGAGAGGGCAGATGGATTGGTCAATTGGCACATTTTCACTATTAAGTTTAAAAACACAAGTATAATATTTTGTTTCTGTTTTAATGATAGTTTTTCATACAGAGTAAGTACCCAGTCATGTTTGTTGATTGGGTGAGTAGTTGGGAAAGAGAATGGAAAAGAATTAGTAAAAAGAAATATTTCCTAAAAAAATCAGAATCCGAAGAAAATGCAGCTTCATAGACCACACTCATTACTTCAAACTGCTTAGGGCCGCACTTTCTGGGGAGAACATGTGGATGCCTTTCTTGGGTGAGAAACTCCTGCCTTCAGTTTCACACCAGAAGACACCTCTCTGTACCTTCAAAGGAGATGTATCTAATTACACCTGGATCAATGGCATCTCCCAATGAGACTGATGATTACAGCAAACTCAAACCCACAGTGCTGATTCTCACCATGTCTTACAGGTTTCTGCCTAGAAATCAAATTGATTTTGTTCCAGAGAAGACATTTTCTTCATTAAAAATTTTAGGAGAACTGTAAGTAGCATCGTCTACTAGGAAAATATGATTGCTTTTTCCAAGACTATATATTTAAATAACTAGTGAGACTGCTTTTCCACTAGTAGCAATCAAAATCCTGTAGACTATTGGATATTAAAAATCAATTAAGAAAACCAACATTATTCTAAAGTCAAAACCACCTTAAAATCAGACAGTGAGCTTAATACAGATGTAGCCTACACAGTTTTCCTGAGTATTTTCTTTGGGCCGTTTCATGTGTTAGGAGTTGATGAATGTTCCATAGCTTCTTAAACATAGAGATCATTTGTCTCTAATGGCTGGAGTAAAGTTAATTCTCAATAATGCTTGTTGAATGAGTGAATAACTGACTGACTAACATAACATAATCAATTGTAACTGAAATGCTTATTAGCCCTTGAGAAATTACAACTTCTGTGGCAAGTGAAGCAAATACAAATGTCTAGAATGAGGATTAGACTTATTGAAAAATATCCAGAGTTTATGTAACTTTTTTATTGAAATACATGTTTTGCAGCTCTTAGACTTTTAAAAAACATTTACCTGGCTAGCAGTCTATTGTTCCCCATGTAACTGTGTGTCACTGTTATTACAAAGAGTGGTGATTAAGATAGATAAATCATTCTCCTGACTGAGGCATTAAAATAGAAATTAATTTCTTAATTAACCTCTCTATTTTTTATACTTTATTTTGGAATCTAGAAAGGACTGGAGGAAAAGCTCAATAACAGTAATTTTTTAAAATAATTATGAACAAGTAAAGTAATTCAGTCTAATCCATGAGCATCATAAATCAAATCCACAAATATTTACTAAGTGCCAATTATGTGCAAGGCACTTTGTTAGAACTAAAAATATCATCATTTTATGGCAAAAAATTAAAGTCAGCTCACTCAGGGATGTTCCTTGTCAGGTTCTGAAGGAAGGATCTGGACTCCAGTTACAGAGTGGAGTCAGCGTGTAGCCAAGGACAACAGGGATGTATGTCATATATAAACTTAAATAAATGTGGTGTGGAGTCCCCACTTTGAATATGTTTCCAGTCTCCTCTCATCCTACATATAATCAGAGCCACACCAAAAACAAAACAAAAACCCAACTAAGAGACACTAGCTTGCTTTTGTGAAACCACCAGTAATCCATTCCAAGCCACTTCATCTCAGGAAGCTAAAAGAAATCCAAAGGTTGACAGACTTAACTTGAATAAGGCTTTATACATCTTGATCATTTTATGTACTTTCATGGTGATGAACCCTTCCCAGGGAAGTAGGTGAGGATCCTGAAGCCATTTCCCCCTCAAAGCATGTACTTTATTTTTCTGTGAACACTTGGGAGGACATGTTCTGGTCTAAAAGGTCACCATCACCTTGCTCTTTTGTCATGCTCTCTCTGACCCAGGTTCACCTGTCGTTTTCTTTCTAGGCTATGAGGTAGGCATGCTCCTCATATCTGGAATCCTAGATCAGAATTCCCAGTTGTCAGGGCCTCACACTCAGATGTCATGGCAGCACCTCAGAAGTAACGTGTTTAAAACTACCAGTTTCTTCACCTGCATTTGCCAGTGTTGTGGTACCAGCCAGGCTCGAGAACTACTGCCTTTCTCTCTACCTCTCCTAAATGCCTTGGATTTTCTCAGACCCTCACTCCTGCCAGTGTCCCCTTAATGCCTTCCCAACCCTCATTTGGTCCATGTGGAATCCTCCTGCCTGGTCTTCCTTCTCTAGCTGTTTGGCCTTCCGGCTTGTCTTTCATACTTTTGACAGAATTACCACCCCATAATCCAGAGCATATCATGACCCTGTCCTGCCTAACGTTTTCACTCCTTGTTGCCTGCTGTTTATCCAAGTCTTTGACCCAGTTGCCAAAGGTTGATATGCATGTTACCAGGCTCCCACTCAGAGATTCTGGTATGGAAGCTCTGGGGTAGACACCAGGAATGTGCTCTTCTTAAAAGCAGACTCAGACTGAACTGGACTCTGGGAAATACTGCCTTGGAGTGTATTCATGCCTCTCCATGTATCTTCTAGGATCTCTTCCTTTATGTCTCTCCCATGCTTTTCCTCCTCACCCTCACTGGACCATTTCCTGACCTCTAGAGACATCATTGAATGCCAAGCATCTGTTTCTCTAATTGTGCTATGCTATAACCTGAAAAGCTGCTTTTCTTTACCCCACTGTAACTCATCAAGCTTTGTTCAAAACTTCCTTATTTTCAAGGCCAATATTGAGAATTCCCTCTATATTTTCCCTGTAATTCTATAAAAGCATTTGTTTCATTCTTTCCTTGTTGTATAATCAAATTGCTAGTGAGAGCTAAGTCTTAGTTATCTGTGACTCCCATATACCCACCAGTAGCTGAAGAATATCAAAAACAGAGAATATTTATTGTTTGATTCTTTTTGGGGGGTGGGGGGAGGTTTTTGCTATACGGCACGTGCACTCGCCAGAAAGAAAGGCAGAGAGGCAGAAAGAGAGAAATCACCCTCCAGGGGGATGACCACGCCGCAATCTCTTCTCCTCTCCGGATCTTGGGCACACACGTGCATGTGCCCGGCGTGAGTTTAAGCCACCAGGTCTGGGACTCAAACTGCGGTTGACTACATGGGAGTCCAGCAACATAACCATTACACCAACTGCTGGTCACAGTTTGATTCTTTTTTTTTTTTTTTTTTTGGAGGGGTTTTTCGCTATAGGGCACGGGCGCTCCCCAGACAGACAGAAAGAGACAGAGAGACAGAAAGCAAGAAATCACCCCCCAGAGGGGATGGTCATGCCGCAATCCCTTCTCCTCCATTCTCCTCTTGGGATCTTGGGCATGCACACACACGCGCCCGGCGTGAGTTCTAAGCTATCGGGTCCGGGACGTGAACCGCAGTCAACTACGTGGGAGTCCAGCGACATAGCCATTACGCCAACTGCTGGTTTCCCACAGTTTGATTCTTAATTAAGCAATACATCTCTCTTATTTTTAATATCTTCTCTGACTTATAAGAATGTTTTGGGCTCTTAATGATCATTGTTTCTTTGAACCTAATGAGTCTCTTTTCTACCTTTCATAGAGTCTCTTCTGTATGATTCTTTAGGGATTGAACAGTCTTGTCATAATTAATTCTAGACTCTTATTCTCTTCTACAACAATAGACCTATATAAGAATATATTTAAAATGTGTGAACTTATTCATTCAGGACTGTCTGGGCAGATATTGAGTGACCAATACTATCTTAGTCGGAATGCAAAATAAATAAAAACTGCAAGTCTTGACCTCAAAAATTTAGTTGAATAAACAAAAGACCACATATATGAGGCAAGTAGGAATCATGAAAAGCACAAATGGTAGAAGTGTACACAGAGTACCTAAAACAGAGGAAAGTAATCAAAGTAGACTTTAAGCCAGGTTGGAAATGTGTTGGAGAGGGAGTGAGAGGAAATTCCAGAAGGGAACTGGATGAGCAAAATGTCATTTGTCTGTAAGTGATAGAGAACATATCCATCTGGCTGATTCCCATGGCCTTATTGTTGCGTAACAAGTTATCAGGTTGGTTAAATTAGGTTCATATTTTCTATTGCATCAAATGGGATGATGATAATTGTGAGGAGTAATAACTATGTCATTTATTTCCATTGTAATTGCTTTGGGTTTTCATTGTCATCAACAGGGATCTGTCTAGCAATATGATAATGGAGCTACCACCTCACGTGTTTAAAGACCTTAGTCTTCTACAAAAACTGTAAGTTCTTCTCACTGTACTCAGACTTTAATGACAACCTTTTGAGTGTCCAAAATAAGAACATTCTTATGTTTTTCTCCCCTAATGCCTAATGTAAAAAAGGAACCTGTCATCCAATCCTCTTTTGTATCTCCACAAGAACCAGTTTGAAAGTCTTAAACAACTTCAGTCTTTGTAAGTAAAATATTACAATTAAGTTGATTGTAATTTTAGTGGATGAATTTTACTTAGAGACATACTTATTTTTACTTTTTTTTTTTTCAATTTCTAAAGGGCAAGAGCACACACTAGAGACAGACACAGAGACAGAGGAGGCAGAGAGAAAGCACCTCCCAATGAGGTGTGGTCACACTGCAATCCTTTCTCCTCCATTTCTCTATGCTATCAAGATTGGAGGCATGCATTTGCACATGCATCCAACAGAGACACACTTATTTTGAACGGATATTCCACACACAGGAGCATACATTCTCAGACAGCTATGAATACCATTGTTACCATCAAGTATGTACTGAGTGAGAACAAAACCTCAGTTTTTAATTTCCATGTTTGAAGCTACATGTATTTCCTTTCTGAAAACTGGATTCATATGGAAAAATCTCATCATACAGTTTTTACAAAAAAAAATTAATTTGCAGTAGTTTTAGTACTGAAGTTTTGATTAAAACAAATTACATAAGATTTGCCTGCTTTTTCAAAACTTTTTCTCTTTCCCACAAGAATATATTTTATATCTATCTACAGTGCATGAATTTTTTGGTGAGAGTTTTGTGGGTTTGTTTTTTGTTTTGTTTAGTTTTGCTTTGCTTTAGGACGTATGTGCTCACTGGAGAGTCAGAAGGACAGATAGCGAGAAATCGCCCCAGAGAGGATGGCCATGCTACAGTCTCTTTCCTTCTGCTCTCCCCTGGGGACTTTGGATATGCATGCACATGTGCCCAGCGTAAGTTTCAAGCTGCCAAGTCTGGAACTAGAACTACGATTGGCCATGTGGGAGTCCAGTGCTTCAACCTTCATGCCACTTGCTGGTCCCCAGTGCATGCATTTTACTTTCTAGTAAGTAAAGAAAAAAATTATCACACAAGCATGAGCATTAAGAATTAACGTTGTTTAATATTTTTAAAATTTCACTGTCTTAGGTGTCAGTGGTCAAGAACTCTGCCAGTTATCCTTTGAATATCATGATTCCTTTCCCACAGATGGCCATTGTGGGCTGAAGTCTGCTTGTTTTTACATGGAAAGAATGCTATATTATCCTATTTCAGCCTAAAATATTTCTCCATTTAATTCCAAAGATCAATCCTTAATATCACCTTTTTTTTTTTTTTTTGAGAGATTTTCGCTATAGGACACGTGTGCTCACCAGACAGACAGACAGAGACATTAGAGAAGAGAAGTGAGAAATCACCCCCCAGGGGGGATGGTCACGCTACAATCCCTTCTCCTCCATTCTCCTCTTGGGATCTTGGGCACGCACGCACACGTGCCCGGCGTGAGTTTGAAGCCACCGGGTCCAGGACGCGAACCACGGTCGACTACGTGGGAGTCCAGCGACATAGCCATTACACTAACTGCTGGTTCCCAATATCACCTTTCTTAAAATGTCTTTCTTGGGGCTAGCAGATGGTGCAGCAGTTATGTCACTGGACTACAACATGGTAGACAACAGTTCGAGTCCAGGACCTGGTGTTTTGCAAATCATACTGGGCACATGTGCGTATGTGCCCAAGAACCCAGGAGGAAAATAGATCCCATCTCCTCTATGGGGGCGATTTCTCACTTTCCTCCTCACTGTCTCTCTCTCTCTCTCTCCAGTGAGCACGTGCACTCTGAGGCAAAAACCTCTCTTAAAAAAGGTTTTTTCTCCCATGAGAGAGACAGAGACAGAGAGATAGATAGATATTCAGCTCTAAGAAGGTCCTCACACTGTGATCCAGCCTCAGTCAACTCCAGATCATGGACATGAGCATGCTCAAATCTCTGGCAGAAAGCTGAAATGTTTTCATGTGGGTCAGTCTTAAAGATCATATCATTTTTTAGTTTCGTTAAGTAATTTTTATTAGAAATCAATGCAAGTTTCTCTCAACAGATATTAATGAATATCCATTGATGAAAAAGACTTAGTGTCTGTTTTAATAAACCAGAATATAAAAATTGAAAAAAACATATAAATAACTCATTATTCTTAAATATGAGAGCAGAACCAGGATGCGGACAATGATTCTTCCCTTCACTTACCACATCTTCCATTTCTGAAAGTCAACATATTTAGCCTCTATACAATGCTTTTCTGGAAGTCAAAGTTGTAACTATTTACTCTATAGTTTTCTTTATCTTTTCCTTTATTGTATCTTTGATTTTTTAAAAATTCATTTACATATTTATTGGCCACCAAATTATGCCTAGCACTGTCTTGGGCACTCAGTATTTAATAGCCTCTGCTCTTTGGGATCCTATGGAATAGTAAACAATTACATGATCCACACAAAGTTAAAACTGCAATAAGTCAAGGAGAAAGCCAGAGAATAAAAGAAAGAATAGGAACAAACCTTTGAAAGGGACAAAGTTTTCTGCTAAAGGACTCACATGCTGATCAGTAGTATAATAGCTCCCCCAAGCTTCATTTCTAACTTCCAAAGAGCAAAGTGACTCTTCTACAAAGAACTCATGGGACAAAGGGAAACACAGAACCATGTTGAGAAACTCTAGAACTACGATTGGCCATGTGGGAGTCCAGTGCTTCAACCTTCATGCCACTTGCTGGTCCCCAGTGCATGCATTTTACTTTCTAGTAAGTAAAGAAAAAAATTATCACACAAGCATGAGCATTAAGAATTAACGTTGTTTAATATTTTTAAAATTTCACTGTCTTAGGTGTCAGTGGTCAAGAACTCTGCCAGTTATCCTTTGAATATCATGATTCCTTTCCCACAGATGGCCATTGTGGGCTGAAGTCTGCTTGTTTTTACATGGAAAGAATGCTATATTATCCTATTTCAGCCTAAAATATTTCTCCATTTAATTCCAAAGATCAATCCTTAATATCCCCTTTTTTTTTTTTTTTAGGGATTTTCGCTATAGGACACGTGTGCTCACCAGACAGACAGACAGAGACATTAGAGACAAAAAGCGAGAAATCACCCCCCAGGGGGGATGGTCACGCTACAATCCCTTCTCCTCCATTCTCCTCTCGGGATCTTGGGCACGCACGCACACGTGCCCGGCGTGAGTTTGAAGCCACCGGGTCCAGGACGCGAACCACGGTCGACTACGTGGGAGTCCAGCGACATAGCCATTACACTAACTGCTGGTTCCCAATATCACCTTTCTTAAAATGTCTTTCTTGGGGCTAGCAGATGGTGCAGCAGTTATGTCACTGGACTACAACATGGTAGACAACAGTTCGAGTCCAGGACCTGGTGTTTTGCAAATCATACTGGGCACATGTGCGTATGTGCCCAAGAACCCAGGAGGAAAATAGATCCCATCTCCTCTATGGGGGCGATTTCTCACTTTCCTCCTCACTGTCTCTCTCTCTCTCTCTCCAGTGAGCACGTGCACTCTGAGGCAAAAACCTCTCTTAAAAAAGGTTTTTTCACCCATGAGAGAGACAGAGACAGAGAGATAGATAGATATTCAGCTCTAAGAAGGTCCTCACACTGTGATCCAGCCTCAGTCAACTCCAGATCATGGACATGAGCATGCTCAAATCTCTGGCAGAAAGCTGAAATGTTTTCATGTGGGTCAGTCTTAAAGATCATATCATTTTTTAGTTTCGTTAAGTAATTTTTATTAGAAATCAATGCAAGTTTCTCTCAACAGATATTAATGAATATCCATTGATGAAAAAGACTTAGTGTCTGTTTTAATAAACCAGAATATAAAAATTGAAAAAAACATATAAATAACTCATTATTCTTAAATATGAGAGCAGAACCAGGATGCGGACAATGATTCTTCCCTTCACTTACCACATCTTCCATTTCTGAAAGTCAACATATTTAGCCTCTATACAATGCTTTTCTGGAAGTCAAAGTTGTAACTATTTACTCTATAGTTTTCTTTATCTTTTCCTTTATTGTATCTTTGATTTTTTAAAAATTCATTTACATATTTATTGGCCACCAAATTATGCCTAGCACTGTCTTGGGCACTCAGTATTTAATAGCCTCTGCTCTTTGGGATCCTATGGAATAGTAAACAATTACATGATCCACACAAAGTTAAAACTGCAATAAGTCAAGGAGAAAGCCAGAGAATAAAAGAAAGAATAGGAACAAACCTTTGAAAGGGACAAAGTTTTCTGCTAAAGGACTCACATGCTGATCAGTAGTATAATAGCTCCCCCAAGCTTCATTTCTAACTTCCAAAGAGCAAAGTGACTCTTCTACAAAGAACTCATGGGACAAAGGGAAACACAGAACCATGTTGAGAAACTCTTACTCAGATTAGCCAGAAAGAAAGTGAGAGTAAGACCTCTTTCAAAATAAACATTAAAAGGAAAAGACTTGTATCTTTGTAGATTGTCCTCCATCATTTCCAGCAGCTCTTAGTTCACAATGTCCTAAAGAGGTCTTCAAAGTAACCACATCTGTATAAGCCTCTAGATAAATTAAGACTATAGGAGTGATTGTTGGAGTTCTTTGAGGACATGTTCTGGAACCTGGAGAAATTAAAAGGATTATGCTTCCCACTGTCATCTTAGAAAATAATTGTCTGAAGTAGAGCTACTCTTAAAGCCTCCACGGTTTTCCACCTGAAAGACACATAGACCAGAGAAATTACTCTGGCCCCATGGCCAAGGGGTTAAGGACTGGATCCCACATGGTTCAAATCTCAGCTCTGGCAACTTGAAAAACACAAAGAAATGGAAGATCAGAGACTCCAACATGACCATACTGCGTGATGGGGTGCTCCTCTCTCTCTCCTCTCTTGTCTCTCTGGCAAGCATATGTATGTGCTCTGGCAATTAAAAATAAGTTAATAAATAAATAGATCAATCAGTGAATAAATCCAGGTTCTTACAACACTCACTTCAGGGATCTTCGCAGGTTAGAAGTAGCTACTGAAGGGACCAGCAGTTAGTGTAATGGCTATGTCTCTAGACTCCCACGTAGTCGACCGTGGCTCCAGTCCCGGACCGGCGGGTTAAACTCACGCCACGCGCCTGTGCGCA